TATGGTTCTCAAGATAGTATTGCCAGTTTGCCACTTCGGGTGATTGTTTATGAATTCAACTAGTTTTTATTTGGTTTGTTTTTTAACTATAGTTAATTTTTTTTTAAAAAAATGTGGTAAGGTTATAGTTGTTAGGGATATATTAAAATAATATTTAAATAAAATAATGAAAGTTGATTTGATGTAAAGTATGAGAAAAATGATTGGAAGTGATAATTAGTTAAAATTATGTGAGTGGATGAATAATGACTTAAAGTTGATATGATGTGTAAGAATGTTTGGTTGATATTATTTAATTATATTCTAAGAAAATAATTAGTTAAAATTATATGAGAGGATTTTTGTGCCGAAACACCGAAAAATAGAGTATACTCTAAGAAAATGATAATGAGGGTCTTTTTAAAATCAATAATCATTTATATTTTATCTTTAGAATTTAAAATTTTGAGAAATAAAGAGTATGGGGAGAAGATTGTTTCTCGTCAGTGAGTGAGATTCAGAGGAAATTTTTTGCCCGCTCCATTATTTATTGGGATTGTTGTTAACCGACCTGGTCAGATCAATCAAGAGAAGCTACGTGGAGGATTGGTAGTCACAAACCCGATTATGTATAAAGGATTGGGAAGAGAACCCGGCTTGAAAGGCCACGATACGAATTGGAAGAGGAACCGATCTCGTCAATAAACCGAAGACCGATCTCCATGTGTGACTGAGATCCCAGGACATTAAATTGATGGGCCACCTGTCAATCAGCCTCTATACCCCATCATTACCTGTGGGACCATCTGTAGACTAGTTGTCCCTAGGTCGTTAAATCACATTCAATGCCGCCGAACTAATATCGAAGAAAGAGCCTGAGATTACTATAAATAGCAATATTTATTTCTGTACGAGAATTTTTTTTTTTACATTTAATACGTATAAAAACAACTCTGGTTCCTTCAGCAACCAACCTCTTGTACTAGAAACTGGAAAATTCGATCCTACAGTTGGGGGCAGTGCAGTCATGCCCTCACCACCCTTGATTTCACACACACCCATGTAGGTGTGTGTGTGCTTGTGTGTAAATCAAGGGCCCCTAGGGGCTGACTGCAGTGCCTTTAGGGACATGATCGAATTTACCCTAGAAACCGATGTTCAATCTAATAAATATTGTACTACTTTACTGCTTTCTACAACTTTCTAATAGTTTAATTCCCGTTATTACAGTTGTTAAATTTCACATAACAACAAGAAGCCCTTTTCTTGTCTCTCCCATTTTTATTTTCCCGTTTCCAATTCAGTGGTGTGGGTCAATAAGTTATCAAGCCAATGAATGATTTTGGGAGATGGAAAGTGATTTTAAGTGCAAAATTGTGAGTTTTATAAACAAACATATATATGGAGCACATATTTTTATATGATGCATGTTAAATGAGTTAACTTTTATATTTGTGAGTATAAAATATAAATGCATACTTATATTAGTGAATGATCTTCTTTTTTATTATTATTATTTAAAGTATAATATCATTTTAATAAAAGTATACGTGTTTGTGGGTTTTTTTTTTTTTGACTTAATTATTAAGCCAACTTAGCTAAAGAATTACAATATATATGTATACACACACGGAGAGGAGCCTCTATTTTGTTTGATTTGTGCCATTGCTTAGATTGTCCTATGCTAAGATTTGTCCTATGCCAGGATTACAAATCGACAAGCCAACTGGTTATTACAGGCAAAACCCAAGAGAACCGCACCACAGGCCAGGATTGGCCTTGATATATTGTCCTCTCTACAAAGCAAATGGCAATTCTATTTTATTATTTTTCGATATCATTTGTTTATCAATTACCATTGTTTGGTCTTAATAACAAATACATACACATAATGACTAGACTATTATTATTCCAATCACAAAAATTTCATTGCTAGTAAAAGAACATGCACTACTAAAGAGTTCAAAATCTAACAAATGCAAATCATAATAATAGTAAGTTGGTAATGATAAAGATCAGGCACCACTGCTCAATAAGTCAATTGTGAATTGTGATACTCCAAATTTATACTGTTTCACCTTTATGCTTTAGGCCAACAAGTCAACGATTTTTCTTTCCGTACAAGTCTAAATCAATACTATGTGGTTGACAGCAGCATTGATTTAGATCCGTTTTTACTAAAAGAGGCAAATTTTTGTGACCGTTGAAATGGGCTAATATTCTATATTTCCTATCTTTATTCTAGTATTTTTGGAATTGTCTTGAAGTCTTTTTCTCTAGAGTTCTTGCTTATAAATTAATCCGCTTAAAATGATTTTTTTTTTTGGTTGATTAGGTTAATTTTAAAAAAGATTGTATGATTAGTTGTTGATAGAATTTTAAATTTATATTAAAATAAAATTTAAAATAAAATAATTAAAGTCGATTTGATGTAAAAGTACGAGAGAGGTGATGCGAACTGATAGTTAGTTAAAATTATGTTTAGTAGACGAATATTGAATTAAAGTCGATGTAATGTGTAAGAATGATTGATTTGTAGTATTTAATTATATGAATAATTTTAGGATGGCCATTGCAAATAGAGTTGGAAGAGTCATTGTTGACAATTCTCCTGTCATAGTGCTAATAATGGACTAGATCAAAATGGCTCAATTAAATTCTCGTGATTCTTCTATTAGTGAAGTTTCTAGAAAAAAAATATCAAACGACGCAATGCACCTTGAGTCGCTACAGAAACAGTCTCCTTGTATAATTACAAGGGTAAGGTCTGCGTACAACTGACTCCCTAGATCCCAACCAGTTGGGAATATACTGGGTGTGATTTTTTTTTATGAATAATTTTAGGCATCGTGATGTTGAGCAAAAATTGAATTAAATTTTGAGTATAAACTAAACGTGAGTGAAATATTTTGTAAATAAGCACCCTAACGGTCTTCTCATAATCACTCGGGCTTGCTTTGTGCACTCTAGTCTCTATGTCCAAAAAGGGCAAAAGAAAAAAAAAATCAAATGTTATTTCATCCCTCAATTTTGGAAATCGGCATATTATTTGAGACTTTTAGTTGGGAGGATAGCGATATGATATGTGCATGCCAAGATGATTCTCGCACGAGTTTAAAGAAAAGCATCTTAGCAAGGCGCACTGTTGTTGATGTTCGGAATAAACACAAGATTACCACAAATACAAATCGTAATAAGACAAAAAATGAGATGAAATTAATGTTTGGTTTTAATAGCTTTCACTTTTGTCTTGCGTTTCTTGTGTGTATATATTTTCACGTATTTCTTCCTCTATTTCCTGTATAACTTTTTTTTTTTTTTTTTTTNNNNTTTTTTTCGTGTATTTTTCGTGTCTTATTCAGGTTATTACAATGTATACTAAATAAAAAGTAAAAATAATTATGTCTTGTAGCTAATGAAATAGATTAGTAACAGACATTTCTATTTCAGATTCGGTTGCTGCTAGTAAATACTAGAAACGAATATATCAGTTGCAGATTTGGTTGCTACTACTCTACCATTAGAAACGATCTTGGTTGTTGCAAAAATTGTTGCAAATAGTAACGAAATGTTTTCCGTTTTCGAGCATTAGCCACCCTGTTTTCACTAATATGAAACGGAATTTGTTTGTTTCTGTTGTGTATT